TTTCTGGCCACGTGCTTGTACAAACACACATCACACATCACACATTACACATCACACATACAAGTGAAACTAATATAAGCGTGTTAAAAATGAGAGGCGTGATGTCGGCTAACAATAATCTTATAGATTATATGTGACGTATGGCCGACACGTATTGGTATTATATATTTGTATGTCGTATGGGTTTTAATTATAACTTAATTTTATTTTTAATTACTAGTAATTTTCCCGAAAACGTCACCAACGATAATTTTATATAACATTGCACGATAATAAGCATAACAATTTTATTTTTTCAGTAAATAGATATTATTTTTCTGTTCGAATCCAAGTAATAAACATCTGAAACTTTGACGATAATCCAGAGGCAGTTGGATATCTTTGAATTAAATAAAATTTTACACATGTAATTTTACCTCGATTTAGCACACTTTTATCGCTGTGCCCATAAAAAATTTTTAAAAAAAAAATGACTCACCCTAACGCACACTAATTATTAAGATCTTCTAAAAGACCAGTAGTCCAACCTCGACTCTTGCCGCACACACACGCAATTTTAACAGCACGGTGGATTAAAATATTTACTTGCTACTGTTATAAAACTTATATTATACTATAATCGACATTATTCAATACTTTCTCGGCTATTTACTACACCATATAAAAATACGAAAAGGTTTTACATAAAATACTAATAGTATAATAAATATAATTTTCACCTTGAGTAGATTTCATATAGAGTTGTATTAGAGAAATAGCTATACGCGAGTTAACATACGAGATCGTATGATCGTGTAATTTCAAGTGCGTCTACCAACGCACATACATCATATCGCTAATAGTGACATCAATTACATAATACATCACAGTAGAATATTTGACTTATCAGGATAATTAGAGGAAAATGAAAACTTTTAGATTAAGAAGTAAATAAATAAATCAAATTATAAAATCCTCTATAGAAAATTGTTTATAAAAACTAATCTGACCCAATTTTTGAAATAAATTGTTTTTACTTTTTTCGTCTCTAAAATTTGGGCATTTCAAAAATTTTACCGCCCCAGGCCCAGGCCTCGTCATAAATTCATCACTGTAAATACCAAAGAAATAATTTTTAATCTATGAACTCTTTCATGACACCGATATTTTTACATTATTTAATATGTAAGGCTTTGATACGTATTTCAAGTAAATTATATTCTTTAGTGCCACCATCCCCCCCAGAAAAATTTTGAAAATCCGCCACTTGTAGTGTGTTTTATAAATGCTTTGAAGTAAAAATAAATAAACCTGAGCTTCATTTCTAATTTACATTAATGTGTTAATAACATTCAAAATACTAATTCAAAAGATGTTAACGACCAGTCAATTTCTTCAGTGATATTTAGATCATTTTCTTACTTGTAAATTGGGTTTTTGTTGAAAAAAACAAAAGTTGATATAATTTTAAGGGTGATATGATCAATAATTTTTAAATTATAAATCATAAGATACTATTAATTTCTGAAGGGAAAAAATTGTATTATGTTCTATATTTTTATTAATATTGCTTGAGTCATAGTAAATAATCATTTTGTATAAATTAAAAGGTTACCTAACAAAAAAAATAACAACAATTTTTTTTCAGATTTCTTGTTGTTGACTTGTGGCCAATATTTAACAGGTGTAGGACGTTACTGATTTCATTACCGAATCGACAGCCATACATTTCTTATAGAGGGCGCTATTTTTAACTTGTTATAACTCTTAAAAAACTAAAAATATATATTATATTTATCCATGTTTTTTTAAAGAAAAAAATATTATCTATTTTAGCTTTGATGCGAAGGTATTTGTTTAACCATGTGTGATATTTACCTTACATTGGGTTTATTTTTGTTGAAAATTGACTCATTAAAATTTACCCACGATTAATAATAGAAACTTTTGTTTGAAAATATTCCAGAAATACTCTGTACTTCTAACTTATGTTACAACTATAAATTATAAGAAAATTTCCTGACGACTTGATTTCTATATGTAAACGATCCCGAAGTTAAATAACAAATATTATTTTGATGTAAAAACACAATTTTTTGTGTTTCAATTATTTATACCTATATTTTAGGTCAAACATTTTAGGTATAATCATATATAGGCCAGTCAACGAAGGAAAAATGGCGGAAAAAATTCCCAACCAAATTTTTTTTTTTTTTAAAAGTTGAATTAAGATATGTATAATGACATACTAGTAGTCCTCATTGATTGAAATTGAGCTTTTTTTTTACAGCTGGTAAAAATTGTGGCTGTCGAAAAACAGGACTTAAATGTTCTATTATATGTGAACATTGCAAAGGTCAATGGCGTACAAATTCAATAGAAATAAAGATTGAAGATTAAGAAAATTGTACTTTTGTTGAAGATATATTCTATCAAAATTTAGAATGGTAAAATGAATAAGAAAATGGAAAAAAATTTTGTTTGATACATTTGTCAAATATCTTTATAGTAGAGAAATCCTCCATCGAGTACATACTTTGCACTAGTAATGCAAATAACTTGTATTTAGGACATAAATAAGGAAATAGGAGATTATGTAGCTTTTGTAATAATCCATTAAAATTTTTAAATTAAACACTATCTACAGATTTGCATCAAGGCGTTGTTTTTTGATAATGATTTTAATCACTGTCACATATCATCTATACTGCACCCAATTATACACACTGTGCCGGGACACTGCAGGTTTTTTTTTTTTAAATAGTGACTAGTTGAAATAGTAGCAACTGGTTTACTTTAATTATTTCATTATTAATTTTAACAATAGAAGTTATTGAAGATACAGTTATAACTTTATTTGACCTTTTAAGATTTATATCATGAAAGTTATTATCAAATACTAGAACAAGACCAATTTTAGACACTTTATGACAATTAATTTTATCATTACCAGAAATTCTGGCTGGGTTGACAAAAGAGAATGTGAGGTAGGTAAAATAAGGAGATCAATGACAATAGGCGAGAGTGTGAATGGGGAAGTAAAAGTTTTAAGTATTTAGGATCAGTAGTGCAAAAGAACGGTGGTTTGACGAGAATGTAAGACACAGGTTTAAGTGCGGGTGGTTGAAGTAAAGAGAAGCGTCTGGTGTCTTATGCGATAAAAGAATTCCAATGAGGCAAAAAGGTAAATTCTACAACAATGTAGTGAGACCAGCTATGATGTATGGTTCAGAGTGTTGGGCGGTTGATAAGAAAATAGAGCAGAGAATGAGTGTAGTAGAGATGAAAATGATTAGTGACTAGAAAAGATAGAATAAGGAACGAGCATATAAGAGGGAGTATAAGTGAACGTCAATCGTGGGTAAGGTGAGAGAAAATAGACTTGGATGATTGAGTCATATTATGAGGAGAGAAGAATCGGAAGCTGTAAGAACAGTTATAGAAATGAATGTTGAAGAAAGAAGAGGTAGAAGAAGACCAAAAAAGAGATTGAGGGATGTTATTGAATGCGATATGAGGAAGACTGATGTGTGGGTAGATGATGTGGGAGAACGTGTCAAGTGGAAGTTTAGGAAAAGGTTGGCCGACCCCAAGTAGTTGGGATTAAGACGAATAAGAAGAAAAAGAAATTATAACCTTCTAACCTCCCTGGTTACACTACTGAAATTGTAGATTGCTTTAACTGAAACATGTTGTTATCATAACAATCTAAGCTCAACATAGATAGTTAGATAAATAATTTTTCTCCACTAAAAAAAAATTTTTATATAACATTATACATTTTTTAATATTATTTTTAACCTTCAAATCCCATCTCTAACTACATCTAAAAGATTAAATTGAAATTTATGTGTTTTAATTTTATTATAAATCATAAACTATCAAGAATTATAATGTACAAAAACTTAAAGATTACTTCTAAAAAATTTAGAAACTACCCTAAACAATTCATTAAATTTTTCTTTAACATCTAGAATTATGTGCTTATATTCCTTAAGTTGATTTAACAATTTTAGCATATTTTTAGGAAAACAAAATTAAATTAAGAGATTGGCATAACTGCGTTTAGCTCCCAGAAAATTTTTTTTTTTACACATATTACGAATATGCAAAAATAATATATAACATAGATTTTTGCATCTAACGCTGTACATGTACAATAGTACTATAATCTATTTTATACATTATTTATATATTATTTATTTTTATACAAACTATTTTTGAGTGACATTTTATTTTTAATATTCATATTCAGTATGAAAAAAAAAATTATTAAAAAAATATATTGTCCGAGTGCTAATATACACTTATTTCAAAATTTGAAAGGAACCTTAAAGGGAATTGACATTTTTGAGGTAAAAAAAACTATTTTTGGTAAAATTTTGGCTTAATTTTTTGACACACAAATGAAAAATTTCTTTACTACACATGTGATACATTATTTAAATATATATTTTTATCACATAATAGCTTTAAGATATAAAGCACAAAATTGTACATAATATTTCTGTAGATATTTCCCAGATCTGATATGTCAATTTCAACAATTATTCAAATAAACAAAACATATTTGACATTTAGATGGTCTTACAAAAATTTTTGAAATGCAGAAAACAAACATTCTCAATAAAATTAGTTTTGTAATTTTTTGGCAAACAATAGAAAAATTATTTTTTATACAAATTATAACAAATTTCAAAAATCAATTTTTGAGACATTTTAGCTTTTAAATATGAGACATAGATTTATTTTGATAAATAAATATTACAAAAGTTATTAAAATTTTCATACCTATGCAAAAGAGGAGATGTGCCCGAAAAACATTTAAAGATAAATACTAAATTTCAAAATCAAAAAATATTTTTCTAAATTATTATTTTAGAGAAATTTATTATTGGTCAACAATTTATAAATATGTATGTATTAGATTCATCAATAAATAAAACGTTAAAAACATATTTTATTTACATAACTTTTTTATTTTAATTGTATTTATTTAAAATAATAATTTAAAAATAAAATTTTCCTCTTGGTAAATTTAGCAAGTATAATAAAAATTATCATGTATTCATTGATACATGTTTAATACTGGCAAATATTAACAGAACATTGAACAGAAATATAAAATATTCATCAAATTATTGTAATATTACTAATTAGTTGTGTTAAGTAATAACATATTTTAACAACAAACATCTCTTAATTTTCAGTCTCTAATAATTTTATAACCATACTGAGTGTTTTTTTGTGTCATATGCATCCTTTCATGATTAGCAACAGCAGATGCACTTTTTAATTCCATTCCACAAAAGCTACATTGAAAGTTCATTAATCCTTTAGTTTTTGTATGATAAAAATTATAATGGACCTTAGCTCTATCCTCCATCAGAAACATTTTACTACAAACACCACATCTAAATCTCTTTGGTAAATCATCATGCTGTATCTCATCATGATCTAGTAGATCACAAAATCTCGAAAAAGATTTTTCACAAATGTGACATATATATGGAGATTTTTTCGATGTTCTATAAACAGACTCAGAATCTTGTTTATCCTTTTTAGCAGGATGGTATTGTGAAACATGTTCTTGTAGATCATTAACAGTCAAAAAAATTTTGTTGCATTTATTGCATTCAGTTTTTTTATTAAGATCACGGTGTCTAGATACAGAATGTTCTTTTAAAAGAACAAATTCATCAAATGTTGCACTACAATAATAACATTGAAATTTATCTTCTCCTTCATCTGAGGTGGGAACTTCATTTAATTCATCACAATCATACTAAAATTAATTAAAAATTTAAATAAACTTATTTAACATTTAATAATATTCTTATATTACTTAAAGTATTTAATGGTTTAATAATGTAATCTGACATTTCAAAAATAACTTAAGTAATAAAATTAAAATTTTAAATATTTAAGAATTAAAACTACATATATATAATATTTGTATTACATATAAGTCCATTAAATTTAATTCCAAAACAGCAGCTATAATTATGTAGATTATCATAAAATTAAAAAAAAATTCTTAAAAAACTTTTAAAAATGATCAACATTTTTCTTTATCTATGAAATGACCGATTTCATTATATTATTAATTGAGCAAAAAAAATATTACTAAATAATATTTTAAATAATTTTATGAAAACCTTTTAAGAATTTTATCGAAGTAATAAAATACCTTTGACAAAATTGATTTGTTTAATGATTCTATGTATTGATCACAAGTGTCATCCTCTTCATCTTCATCAATAAATGGTTGGATGTTTTCCATATTTTCATCTCTATTCTTAGGTTTTGAGTTCCATTCAGTTATATCTTGGTGAATTTCACTAACATGCATTAACAATTCATAATCACTAGGAAACATCTTTTCACAAAATAAACAGCAATGATAATCTACTTCATCAATCAGTTCTAAATGTGAGGTAGTGACAGGCTATATATATACATTAATATCTTTAAAAAGTATTCATGGTAATATAATATATAATATTAATACAAAATACTTACTTCCTTTTCAATGAAATTTAAATTTGTTTCAATTTCTTTAAGAGCTTCTTCACTTTGTTTTTTAAACATCACCCAATCTTGTACCCGATCATAGCATTCATTACAAATATGTTTAGGACCAACCGTTTCAGGAGTTATCTAATTTAATAAATATAAGTATGTGAACAAGAAATTTTTTTAAATAAATAAATTACCATTATTTGTAAACAATTCATGACATCTTTAGCTAAATCTGGGTCAGAAGCCATAAATATAGGAAATGATGAGAGTGATTGTCGCAAACAAAATCTACAAAATAAAAGTTCATCAGTTTCATTGTCCATTGAAAAAAATTTACCCTCAAATTCTTCAATGTAAGATTATGAATTGAATACTATTTTATTCATAAATAAATTCAAGTTATTTTCTATTTTTGAATCTATGCTCAAAATTTATATTGATTTAAAATGTAATATGTGAGAAAATAATAAACACATTATTTAATTATAGTTAATATAATAACAAAAAATATATTACAAAATAGTTTCAACTAAAATATTAATGATAATGTTATCTTTAAGAATGTTCGTCACTATCACAAAAAAATGACTAATGTGAATTTTTTATTTCACCTTGATAATAATGATAAAACAGTACTACCATTAAAATTTGTTCAATTTATAACACCATGTTGGGCACCTTGATAAATATAATATGCTACCGCTCATGCTTATCTTCCTTATCGTGTTTTGTATATGTGAGTTTATTATTCATCAAGGTTCAAAGTTATTCTTCGAAATTTTTTTGTATAATTTTTAAAGAGCGTACTATATTTAACTCGGTTTCTTCGCATGCATAAAGAACTTTATGATATATTTTTTTCATAAACAAACTTTGAAGATATTGTGTCAAGATCTTAATTGTAAGTTTAAAATTTAGTTATAATTTTACGTTAAGAATCTTATTAATAGTTATAAAAAATTTTCTTGTCTTTACATTTTGTAACTGTATTTAATTACTATTCTAAAAAATTTTTTAGCAATTCGTATTAGAAAGCATTATATCAATAGTTTGGTGTAAATTATGGTAAATAAGTAGCGAAAAATTCTATTTTTTTTTCAAAGAGCATTATAAGCATTATGACTCTTAAATTAACTAATTTTAAAGGATGGGAAAATATTTTCTTGAAAATTCAATATTAGTTAATTAGAGAGAAGAAAATCTTCTCTCTAATTCTTGGACATTAAATTGTTATTGAACCTTTGGAAATTCTATTAAAGTCTTAGTATAACTTAATGAACTAAACATATGATTCATATTAAACTTTCACTATTTTTATCTTTAAAAAATTAATATGTGTATTTTATTTTTAATAATATGTCTCTGTGTCAATTATGCACTTGTTAGAATTAGTAAACAATATCAGTATGATTTTATGGTTTGCCTTTTTTATTTTTTTAATATTTGATTAAATCCCTGCTTTTATAATCTTTTTAAACTAAAAAGCCTAATGAATAATATATAATTATTTAGTTTCAAGTGTACTCTTCCTTCCACTTAGGTATAAATATGTCTATAATCCAATATACTAATACAAAACTTGTTTTCAACTAGTCATTTTCTTATTTAGATCATTATCTAGTTAATTATATGTGTTGCTATCTGATAAATTAACTTCAATTAATTAAGTGGTTTGTGATAAATGAATCACTGTGTAATATCCTTATAACAAAAAATTATTTTTCATTTAAATATTTAGGAACATTTTGTATATTCATCAAGTACAAATATTTTGTATACTAGTAGATTTATAACAAAATTTCCATTTGTTTGAAAAGATGAATTTTAAATTAAATTAATTTTTATAGATATTATGGCTTTTATGACAAATTATTTTCATGTAAATTGAAAATATGTAATTAATAAAAAACATCCAAACATGCAAGCTGTTGCATTAAGAACTCCAAGAACAATATCAGGTGAAGAATGTTCACCTAGGCAAAAATCCGATGTAGGAAAGGCAGCACGGAAAGCAAAACGTGTACGATTTTTGGTAAACGGTGATCGTTTTTGCAAAGGTAATACATTATTACAATTTAAAATAGTTTTACTGATACTTTCAATTATAATTATAGGTGTTGTTGTAGCTGTTACTAATGAACGGTACCGTTCATTTGATAGCTTACTTGCTGAATTATCAAGTACTTTGTCAGATAATAAACATCTACCTAGTGGTGTGAGAACACTATTTTCAATTGATGGACGTAAGATATCACAACTTGATGATCTTGAAGATGGCAAATTTTATATATGTTCTGGTGGTAACAATACAATTTTGAAAAAAATGGATTATGCAGCTCTTAATAATGTAAAATCATCTCGCTCATTGACTAAATTACAAGTTAATCAATCTATTATGAGTAGTCCTAGTAAACAACAATCACAATTGAATATTAGGCCAAAAATTATTTTCGTTGTAAGAAGTGGCACAAGACCACGTAAAATAATAAGAATGCTTCTAAATAAACGCAATTCACCATCGTTTGAACATGTGCTCTCATTAATTACTGATTCAATAAAACTAGATACTGGTGCTGTGCGCAAAGTTTTTGTGTCATCTGGCAATCAAATTACATTATTAAAACAATTTTTTGAATCTGATGATTTATTTTTTGTTTATGGATCTGAACGTATATCACAAGATGATTTAAAATTAGATTTTGAAGAAATGAAAATAGTTCAGTCACATAAGAGAGGATTAAGGAAACCTGCGAATGAATTGAAAAATGGAACACATTGCATGGATGAGTCAGGAAGACGAGTACCAAGATTACCAAACACCACCAAAGCCAATAGAAATATAGCTGGATCTATTCCTAGCAAAGTTCTTAATAGGTATTTTTTAATATTTAAACATTTAAATGCTATACTTAAGAGAATGAGTAATAATATATTTATTATTTAGGTATGCTGTTGGCGATAGACTAGGAGATGGAAATTTTGCTGTGGTTTATCGTTGCTTTGATAAACGAAATAATTCTGAGTATGCTTTAAAAGTAATAAAAAAAATCGAAGCTCCTCAAATGAGTCAAATGATAGAAAATGAATTATCAATCTTAAAAACTGTTAGTCATCCAAATATTATTAACTTAATTTCTGATTTAGTTACTCTCACTGATGTCTACTTAATAACTGAACTCGTCAATGGTGGTGATTTATTTGAAGCTATTGCTAGATGCACAGATTTTTCAGAGCGTGACACTCGATTAATGACTAGAAATTTGGCTTCAGCTTTAGCATATCTACATAGTATGGATATTGTGCATAGAGATGTAAAACCTGAAAATCTTTTAGTTGAATTTGATGAAAGAGGCCATGTGTTACATTTAAAATTAGCTGACTTTGGGTTATCTCAAAAAGTTACTGAACCATTATATATGGTTTGTGGTACTCCTACTTATGTTGCACCAGAAATTCTTACCCAAGAAGGATATGGAGTTAAAATTGATGTTTGGGCTGCTGGTGTCATATTATACATTCTACTTTGTGGCTTCCCTCCATTTGTCAGCGAAAATAACAGTCAAGAAGAACTGTTTGATGATATTCTTAGTGGGACATATGGGTTCCCAGAACCATATTGGGACGATGTGTCAGATGAAGCTAAGGACTTAGTTTGCTCAATGTTACAGTCAAATCCTTGTTTACGTTTTTCTGCTGAAGATGTACTTGATCATCCCTGGTGTGATGAGTATGAATTATGATGAACAAATGTTTTAAATTATATTTTTCCTGCCATATTGCTATTTTGGCCAAATATATATTATTGTTCCAATTTATAAAGTGCAATTAGACTTGTATAATCTATCAATATTTAAAATACTTGTATTTTCATTTTTATTTTTATTTTAGTGTTATTAAATTGTAAGGCTATTTATTTAGACAAGAACCATTTATATATTTTTGTTAATTTTTTAAGCTATAGTAAAAATCATGCCAAAATATGTAGACTTCCTTAGTGGTATTATTTGTAAAAATAAATAAAATAATACATGTGTAATAATTTTCATTATAAATAATATCAAGTCATTTATTTTTCTATTTGATCACAAATTAATTTGTCAAGTACACATTTAATTAATATATTTATTATTTCTAATAACTAGTTACAAAACTTCAGAAATATGAACTTTTTTAATTTTCTCAAAAAATATTTGACTTACAAAAAAAAGTTTCGTACAAAAGTTGTTTAAAAGACAATTTTAAACAAAAAATCTATCTTATATTTTTTCATTTAAACAAATATTTTTCGAGTAACATTACATTTAATGTGAGTACTAAAATTTATTTTCCAATTTTTTTCATTTACGGTTACTTTTTATCATGTTATACTTACATTAGACACAATGTTATAAATGCATATGTGTGTATGTGTGAGTTTATTTATTTATTGTATCATTAAAGTTTAGTGTATATTAAGATACAACCGAAGAGTAGGTAATTGATTTGACGATATATTGTTTAAACCCAACTAAACGCTAAATTGTACATTCCCAAACAACAATTATATTATATCAATTGCCACCGGAAATTCTGCTAATCATTTTCTTTGCCTTAATTCCAACTACTTGAGGTCGTCCACCCTAATTCTAAACTTCCACTTGACATGATCTCCCACATCTTCTANGCGAAATAACAATCATATTATGTCAATTGCCACCGGAAAATCTGGTAATATTTTTCTTTTTCTTTGCCTTAATTCCAACTACTTGAGGTCGTCCACCCTAATTCTAAACTTCCACTTGACATGATCTCCCACATCTTCTACGCTCACATCAGCTGTCCTCATATCGCATTCAATAACATCCCTCCATCTCTTTTTTGGTCTTCCTCTATCTCTTCTTCCTTCAACANCTTCTTCTACCTCTTCTTTCTTCAAAATTCATTTCTATAACTGTTCTTACAGCTTCCGATTCTTCTCTCCTCATAATATGACTCAATCATCCAAGTCTATTTTCTCTCACCTTACCCACGATTGACGCTATAACTATTCATAATCCTTATATTTTAATTCCTTATCCTAACTTCTCTAATCACTCCACTCAAGCATTCTCATCTCTGCTACACTCATTTTCTGCTCTACTTTCTTATCAACCGCCCAACACTCTGAACCATACATCATAGCTTTATATCACTACAGCTTTATGAAACTTACTTTTTAGCCTCATTAAAATTCTCTTATCGCATAACACACCAGATGTTTCACCCACCGGCATTAAATACTATGTAACCTTTTTTATTTTAGTACGAGTCCCATTATACATATCCTCTATTATATTAATTTACGTTTTCGGGACTTATTTTCTAATTAGTGCCCACTTTAAAACCTCTCTCGGTACTCTATCATACGATTTCTCCAAATCTATAAATACCATAAACAGCTTTTACTTCTTTTCCCTTTAAATTACTATTAGTTGCCTTACACAAAATAATAGCTCTATTGTTGATTTTCCAGGTAAAAAACATACTGAAAGGATATAACCAATCCATAAAATTTTAATCTTCCATCCACTCAAACAATTTTCTACTTTGCGATATAAAATTTAAAAACTTGCAAAGGACATTATCATTAAAATAAAAAAAGAAAAGTAACAGAAATTAATAAAATCATAAATAAGAATTTCAATTGTATATACCCGGCGATCTATAGAGGTAGCGGTTGCGGCAGACATTAGCTGAAGTAGATACAGCGGTTGTCATGTCGTTAACAACTGGCCGTATCTGCTTGTTCGTTTAGTATTAGTTTTGACACCGTGCTGAGTATGTTTGCGCTTTTAAATTGTTGTGCTGTAAAAACTGCTATTTCCACAAATTATGACATGTTTGTTAGTACGTGAAAATTTCCCGAATAAATAAAGGGAAGAAAGCATGTTTTGCTATATTTTTCTCCTTCTTAATAACACATGAATTACAGGTAAATTGAATTTGAATTTAATTTTCAAGTTAACTTGCTTTTTTTTAAATCATATACTACCATAAAAGTTTACTTAATTTAAAGTGCACTAATTTTTATCAAATAAATACAACTTAAAAGGCTTGGACCAGATGAGTCCCTTTTTTTAAAATTCTTTTAGAGAAGAAATTATTTTATTGAAACTAATAATAAAACATTTTTTCTAAACGACATATCTTCGCAAATAATAGGAATATAGAACCCGTTTTTGTAAACAAAAAATCATATTTATTAAAATGTAGACACTTAACTTTTTTTGTTCAAAATGGTTTCTAAAAACTAATTAAAACTTTTAAACAAACTATGTTTTTCAGGTCACCCCTCTCTCGAAAAAATCTTAAACACTTGTTTTTTCAGTTTGGTTTTTATGAGTTATTTTGATTGAAATATTTTACTAGCGTAATGATATGACTTTGAACCAAATTGATAAAAAAATATTATTTTAATACATTTTTTAAGAAATAAACATTTTTTTTTACTTATCATCATTATGAGACCTGATTAAAAATGTGGTTCCCTAATTGATTTTTTTTTTTTGCTCATTAGTTAGGCTTATAAAAATATTTATAACACTCCAGACAGCATTATTTTTTAAAATTGCTTTCTGTTTGGTTAAAATTGGCTACTCGTTTTATTGATATTTGAGATGCGTAGCGTATAGATCTATGAACCTAAATAGTAATTATCACCCAACTTTAGTATTTCGCGATTTTTTTTTTTTTATGACATTTTTTGGGTTAAATATTTTTAATATCATTTAGTATTAAATTAACATTTTAACTTTTTTTTTTTGTTTTAAATAATATGTCACAGGTGATTATTTTTTTTTTGTTTAATATTTCATGTACATTTAAGCAGTATTTTATTAGTTGGGAGGGCCATAGTTAGCGTTTCAAATTATAATTATTATTTATACCAATTACAAATATAACAAATACAAGTATATTTATAAATTCATTAGTTTACGAAAAGAAATATTTATTTTAATATAACGAATTATTTTATTTAATAACAATTTGTAATGTATTTTATAATAATAAGTTAACTAATTATATTACTATATAAAAATTTTGTTCTACAGTGTATATATTTTTTGTTAGCAATACCGAACACAAAAGTAAATCCTAAATATATTGATACATCGATAGATTAAATGAAGATATCATTTATTTATTTTTAAAATCAATATAATAGTTACTACATATAAGTGTTACGTACACGCTTTAGAATTAAAAACGAGGTAAATAAACGAAGTGATTGCATCGTGATCTTGTTTACCGGATCTAGTCCTCTTTAAGCATCTTACGGTAAAACGGGTATCTTCTAAGTCGTTAAACGTTAGATTTTGAAGTGTAATCGGCCACCACTCATACATTCCGTGCGCTAGTTAACTGATCTCTACACATTACTGCATTCATTAAACTTAACAGTAAAATATTTCAAACAATAAACATATTGGACAATTTAAATTTTAAACGTTTCACTTTATTTTCTCTGAAATTAGAAATAATTGTTAGATTTTTTTCCATTTTAATTTTTTTTTTTTTGAGTAAATAAATTTATTATTTGAAATTCTTTGACTACAGAAGGCCATTTAAAACCAGTTATGTGTCGTTACTCACCTTTAGTGATGTTGTCGTGGTAATTGTAGACATACTTAATTACACACATTTAAATGAACTCATGTAAATAGCGCGAACACAACCCTGATGACCCACATTCAAATGATCTGGACCATTAAACATTAAAAAAAATTTTATTATGTTCTTCCGAAATCCAGTGGTTCCAATGATGTTTGTAAAAACTGAATTTCAATTTCTATCAATACTTTTCTTAAAATGTTCTATATTCTTAGCAAATATATTTACATCTATACAAATTATCTATGAATACTGAAATAAAGATATTAGGCATCTAAACATTATTCTGTTAGATAAAAAAATAATTATTAAGTAATACAAAATATTTGTTGTTGTGTATTTTCTTCAGTTTATTTAAACATGTGCGTAAGACTATTATCTTATAAGATTATATATACAGGTTCGATTGGGTTATTATTTCAAATCTAACTAAAGTTTATCACTTTTGATCCAAGTACCACTTCGTTGAATTTTTTTTTAAATAATTATTGCATTTTTAAACTACATTCTTAAAAAAAATGTCCGAATTTTCACATACATGTCTGGAAGTTTGTAACATCTGACGCATCCTCATTATAACTGAGGGTGTCAGTAAGAAGCAAGGTGTGTGTCACTGTTTAAGTTCCCGTATGATACCCATCTGGTAACCAACAGCAAAGCTGAACATCAGCACTAAGGCGGCGATTGAGCGATTCACTGCGCCACATCAAGCCTTATATCCATTAAATTAATTAAAAATCATTAAAAAGTGAACTAAGATATTTTAACATAACATTGTATTCAATTTTTCAAAAATTACAGCTTTAAAAACATTTTATATCAGAAGTTAAATTTTCTTAAAATTGCTTAAAAAAAATATAAATTTCTTGAATATTTTAACTTCTTTTTTTTAAACTATTATTTAAAGAGAAATTAGTGGTCAACGTTAAAAGAATTACTCTGTATATAACATATATTTTGATGTATACATCAAAATATCAATGGACGGAAATCTTTATAAATCATGTCCCATCAGTATTATTTATTGAGGTTCGCATTAATGAAGATTAAGATATAAATTGTGCCTGGTGATAGTTACGAGTATTAGTTAATTTATATTCAATGTGTTTCTTCGAATGAACTTGGGAAGATTTTTTCTTTAGCTTTCTGGATCTTTTTAATTCATTGTTGAATAATAAAAATAAATTAAATGTTTGTAAATTGTACATGAATAGTCATTGTACGTCTAGTTTATTAGTTTTTTTTTATTGTAACCTGTAAAATGTTATTAAATTGTTGTTTGTGATAACGTATATAACCTAAGTTTTTATTGTTATCAAAAGTTAAATAAATAAAAGTTTAATATAATACAGAAATAACGCTTGTCTCGTGACTTTTTTATATCTTACGTTATTTTATAACAGTTTCAGTTGATCTTAATATCTAAGGAATAGAAACGCCATGACGTGCCAAACCGCAATTTAATGACAACAATCTGCACTGTTCCGTGACTTCAAGAGTGCTTTACGAGGCATGTGATCTCAATATCATTTAAGTTACTGGTTGTCTCCTAACGTTAATCTTTTGCCCGCGATTCTTGTTCGTTTTGTGGAAAATTACTTGACATAAGTACAAATTAACGACAGTGATAATATTTTGTCATATTATTCACTCGTGCCATTTTAGGTCATTCGTTGCCACCGAGGATCCCATCTGTTGTGGTTCATAGTTGGATTAATATGTATATGTATATGATTGTTTTTATAACTGCTTGGCTAAGTCGTAAGATAGTTACTATGAATGACACTAATCGTTAACCTAAAAAAAAATATATATAGTAAAAATAACTCTGCTAGTCAATAAATTATTTTTATATGTTTAAAACTTGTATAATATAGATTTAGCTAAGAGAAATGTTTAAAATTTTATTCATATTTGTTAGAAATCATTTTTGAAAATAAACGATAAAAATTATTCCATTTTAAGCAATACTTGATGATAAATTGTACGCATCAATCTTTCGTTAGAATATACTAATGTTAATGTAAACATCTAAGTCATTTATACTACTGCGGAGTTGGCAATTTTTTGTCTAGTAATAGTCAATTTAATATCAATAGTAACTCTAAGTATTATAAAAACATCAATACAGATATTAATTTCATATATTTTTGAAATAAAAAAAAACATAATTTATTTGATTTTCAAATCATATTACAACTAACGGTCAGACGTCGTCTTTGTTGTATTATCTATTTGCATAAATCATTTTGTAGTAGATAAAGTAGAAGTCACTTTGCCGTTGGCATCAACAGAATAAAAAATAAATAAATATTATTATTTTTTAACTTAACGCACTTGTATTTAAGTATACATCAATCTGGTTATACATTATTACGCTGTGAGTACTTTGTAGGTAAACTTAAAACGCGTAACGATTTCTGAAATATAGTTAGTTGTATTACTCAAAGTAACTTCATGCTGCAACTCGAACCGTAAAAATGTTTTACAAATTATTCTTTAGAAAAATGTTTTTTTCTCTTAGACCAACAGGTTATAATTTCGAGCACGATGAATGTCACATTATTCATCTCACACAAACAGTAGGTAACAAGTGTATGTATGAAACTGTATACCACATCGGGACATCATTCCAGTTTGATTGATAAAAAAAAAAAAAATCATTGTACCACAATAAAACAGGAATATATAACCAAGTAATAATTCATGATAATTTGACGTGCGAATATTCACGTACATATTATGTTTCAAGTGTTGACATACTAATAGGTTAGGGCGGCAATATAAAATATTAATAAGTACTTGAAGTAAAATATTATTTAACTACATAATATTGTAGAGATTTTTGAACCAACAATTTTTCGCATGACGAAAATTTAAAACGTTTTATAGTTTTTGAGAAAATTAATGTTTTATTCAAAATCGTTCAATTTGAGATCGATATGCCTAATATCGTTAAAGTTATTTTAGTACATTTTCATAGTAAATAATGACATCTTAATTTTTTAATGTTTTTATGAAATTTTACTGTAGTTGAAAGTCACAAATTAACAATAACCAAAAAAATAATTATTTTATTATTTCCAATGTTTTATACATTTTTGACAATATTTGTTATATATTATTTATATAATGAGAAAGAATATACTTTATTTTAATTATTGATTTTTAGGATTTAATTATTCAATTCATGTTATAAAATTCATAGAAATCTCTTTAGGAAATTTAAAGAAAATGCTATTTAGTCTGAAAAAGTTTTGAAGTATTTATCATTTTAGCTTCGATGCGAAGCTGAGAAGGTATTGGTTTTACTAAGATGTG